TTTTTGAGACAGGGTCTCCCTGTAGCCCCAGCTGTCCTGGAACTCACTATGTAGACCAGGCTGGCCTTGAACTCACAGAGATCTGCCTGCCTCTGCCTCCCAAGTGCTGGGACTAAAGGCGTGTACCACCACTCCTGGCTCTTTTTTTTTTTAATGTATTTAAAAAATTTTTATTTTATGTGTATGAGTGTTTTGCCTGAATGTATGTAAGTGCACCCATGCGTGCAATGTTCACTGAGGCCAGAAGAGCATGTTGGATTCCCTGGAATTGGAGTTACAGATGGTTGTTAGCCACCATGTGGGTGCTGGGAACTGAACCCAGGTCCTCTGTAAGAGCAGCCAGTGCTCTTAAGCACTAAGCCATATCTCTGGCACACCCTGGTTTATTTTTCTTTTTATAATGCTAGCCTAGCATGTGTGAAGCCCTAGGTTCGATACCCAGCACTGTCTAAGTTGGACGGTGGCTCACACTTGCAATCTCACTTAGACGTGAGAGCACGTGTTTGTGTGGCACCCTGGCTCTGCTTCCCAGAGCTGGTTGTGAGAATCTGAACAGCCAAAGGAGTCAGGGAAGGCTTCCTGGAGAAGGGTGCAGGGCTTGAGCTCATATATCTGAGGAAGCCCACACACCCTGCCCATGGCTCCCTGCTCTTCCCAGGTCGGTTCCTGAGGGCACAGACATGTTCGAGGTCTACGGGACGCCTGGTGTGGACATCTACGTGTCCCCCAGCATTGAGGGGAGTCGAGAACGTGCAGATACCAGACGATGGTGCTTCAACAAGGGGCTGGAGATCATTGTGGTCATGAACTCCCCCAGTAACGACCTCAACGACAGTCACGTGAGCTGCCCCCTCCTCCATCCCTTCCTTCTCTATAGTGCAGAGCTCAGTGGAACACTCCTCCTGAGAGTCACACCACTGGGGTGTGACTCCCACTTCTGCAACTCATAAGCCCAGGCAGTGTGTGTATTCTTGGGTGGGTGAGTCCCAGCAGCCCCTGAGCTCCATGTGTGCATTTGGAAGGTGGAATGGGGTGAGGGTGGACCCTGAATGCTTTCTCCTGCTTAACTATCTTCTGGTGAGGAGAAGAGTTGACTCAGTCCTACTGTGTTGGGTCTCAGTTTCCCAGTCAGTGGAATGAGGCTTGGTTACAGGGTCTTTAGGGCTCTGAATGCAGGAAAGAACGGTGAGGAGAGACACCTCTGCCAGAGACTGACATTCCCCCTAAGGGGTCTCACTTTCCTCCATCCACCCTCTATTTAAAGGATTTAAGACATGGAGTAAACCTTTGAACTGGTTTCTTGTGACCCTTGAAAGGCTGGTGGGGACCAGGACCTGGCACCACTCAGAATCAAGGGCAATATTTTTGGAAACTGACCCTTTAAAGAGCACTGGCCTTAACTATGCCCTGGCCAGCACAAATCTCAGCAGGCATCCAGATAGCCCTGGGAGGCAGGGGCTCCTCCCCCAGGTGGGGCTCAAAGGTTCAGAGTCCCTGTCAGGAGGATCACCCAGCTAGGGCATGATAGGTAAAGTAGGCTATGGATGAATCCGGTTGATTGGGAGAAAGCACTAGGACACAGATAAGATTCCAGAGGAATAGACTTTATTAGCAAAGGAACACATGGACAGATTCCCTTCCGGGTAGGGAAAATGTCTGCTTCTGGGTTGTGAGCTGGGCTCTTTTATAGGGGGAGGCTTCTGGCAGCGTGCAGAAGTATATTTTTAAAAAGTTAGGTGGGGGAAGTGGGAGAGCGGGACTGTTAAAACCTGCCCTCTTTAGACATCAAAGGGGAAGCCTGCTGTGTTGGCCAAACAGTGGAGAAAAGTCTGTTTCTCTTGACTTCAAAGACCAAGGTGCCTTTCTCAGGGGCTTGCTGAACCATGAGGCCCTCTTGGTGAGGGGGCGTGGCTGCTGTGTATCCAAACCCTAACAGGGTAGGAGCACAAAAATCCTACATACCTGGGCCTGGCTCCCTCCCTGCCTATTCCCACTACACCTCTGAATCCAGCCTCTGCCCTGAGCTCAGAGAGCCATTTTTCAATGGAAGAAACCGAGTCCAAGAATGGGCGTGGCTTATCTGAAGTCTGAATGAAGTCTTAGTGAGTAGCAGAATTGATGAGGGTCTCAGAGTCCGCAGGGCTGGACAACAGAACCCAGCCATTCCATGGGGCCCCACCTTGGTGCCCTGCAGATGGAGACACCTTTAGGATCCAGGTGGGTTAAATCTGAAAGTGTCGCTGCTCTGGCCTGGCACAAGCAGGTCTGTGGCAGCAGGCCCAAAGGGTTCCTAGGACTGAGGGGCAGTTCCCAGGACTCTGCTGGGTCCTGACCCTGTGGCCAACATGAGTGAGGACATTAGAGTCTAGGTGTCAAGGAGCCCATGTCTGGGCATGTCTGAGGGACAGGAATGGGTCACATAATGGGTGGTGTGTCTGCCCCTCCACCTTCTGAGCACCTTTAATGTGAGCTCAGCAGAGGCCATGTCTGTGACAAGCCTGCCACATGCTCTGACCCTTTAATCCTCCAGCCCTATGGGTAGAAGGCATTATTATCCCACTTTACAGATGAGGAAATTGAGGCCCAGGAAGGTCAAACTTTCCCAGGATGTTCGTAATTGGCAGGTGCAGGAGAGGAGACCAGGCCATACAGCAGAGCCCAGAGAAAGTGCCCCAGAGATACCCACTTCCCTGATCAGTGGCAAATGTGGGACAGTCAAGTGCTAAGCTCTGAGTTTCCTCAGCCTGGAAAAATGTGAGCCATGCATGTCCCTCCCTCAGAGGGTCCCAGCGCGGCTTACAGAGGATGAGGAATCTATGGTGGATCAGACAGGTGTAGGTCATGGGACCCATAGATGCTGGGCTCAAATCCAGGTGGTGTTGGTAGGACTAGAACCCAGGTCACTATGGGTCTATCACAAATGACTCTCATTTCACAGATGGACCAACCAAGGCAAGAAAGTAAGTGACTCAGAAGACACAAGAGAGAGCTGGTACAGGGACAGAGGTGCTGAGGCTCCTGTCCCCTGTTCACCAGGTTCCACTGTCTGTCCACATGCCACCCATGTAACACTGGGCACATCTCTCTGCAGGTTCAGATCTCCTACCACTCCAGCCAGGAGCACCTGCCCCTGGCCTATGCAGTGCTCTACCTCACCTGTGTGGGTAAGTTGGGCTGGGCTGAGGGTGTGGCTGGGGAGCCTTGGTCACAGGCAAAGGCTGGGAAAGACACTGAACTAGAGGGTCTTTTCAAAAGAAGCAGTTAGGGAGCTAGAGAGGTGGCTCTGCAGTTAAGAGCACTGGCTGCTCTTGCAGAGGACCTCACATGGTGGCTAACAACCGTCTATAACTCCAGTGCTAGGGGCATTGCATGCACAGGTACACTTACATACATGCAGGCAAAATACTCATACACATAAAACACAAATAAGTAAATCAAAACTTTTTCAAAGAAACAGTTTGGTGCTGGGAGTGTAGCTCAGTGGTAGAATGTATCCTCAATCTTTGCAAGACCCTGTATTTGATCCTAGAACCACACATACACACAATTAATTAGGATTTGTAAAAGGTTTTTTTTTTTTTAATGTGCTTGTGTGAATGGATATGTGCATGCCCATGTACCTGTGTAGGTCAGATCCCTCTGGAACTGGAGTTACAGGTGACTTCAAGCCATCTGACTTGGGTGCTGGGAACTAAACTTGGTCCTCTGCAAGAGTTAGTATGTGGCACTCTTAATTGCTGAACCATCTCTCTAGCTCCTAATTTTTTTTTTTTTTTTTTAGTTAAAGAAGTGGGGACTGGGGAGATGGTTCAGTGGTTAAGAGTACTGACTGATCTTGCAGAGGACCTGGGTTTGGTTCCCAGAACCTACATGATGGCTAACAACTTCAATTCCAGGAGACCTGATGTCCTCTTCTGGCCTCCACAGGCATTGGGAGTTAAACATGCAAGCAAAACCCTCATACACATAAAATAAAAATAAATACAAAAAATTTAAAGAAAGAAGCACACATTAGAAAATTCAAACATGTGGTGGGGGTCTGGGGAGATGGCTCAGTGGGTCAAGTGTTTGCTGCAAGAACATGAGGACCTGAGTTCAGATCCCCAGAACCCACATAAAAAGTTGAATGTGGGCCGGGCGTGGTGGCGCACACCTTTAATCCCAGCACTCAGGAGGCAGAGGCAGGCGGATCTCTGTGAGTTCAAGGCCAGCCTGGTCTACATAGTGAGTTCCTTTCCAGCTGGGGCTACAGGGAGGCCCT